AGCGGACAACAGTCGCTGCACAGGGTCCCCAGGTCTGGTACTGGGGCGCAGGCCCGCAGGCGGTGAGCAGGTAGGCTCTGATGAACTGCCACCCTGTGTGTCTTTGTTTCCCCAGAGTTCCAAAGTCGTAGGTGGGCGCAGTGCCAAAGACAACGTGCGGGATCTGTCCTTTCAGAGATGACCGGAGCCCAGGTCCGCTTGAAGTGATGGCGCTCCCTTTGCAGACAGACTCGAAGTCGTGCCCCGGAAAACAAGGCAGAATAACAGTGGCAGAGCCTCCCTTGGCTCTTCTCCCAAAGACAACAGTCTGGCCACCAGGGGCCCTGCGAGAGACAGGTGACAGCCAGTAAAATGCCGAATGTAATTCCCAGCGTACGGCACCCATTATTTCAGCCGGGCTCTGACTCAGATCGCTGTCGAGAGGCCACTGAGCACATGACACCTGCCCACGTCCCCTGTAGCCTCCCTGGGGAGCAGGCGCCCTGGCCAGCAGGCGGCAAGGCGTCGGCGGCGTAAGCCCTTTTGTTTTTAGCCGCAAAGCCCTGAGCCTCTTAAGCTGCGCACGGGGCGCATCTGGGGCGCTCGTCCCATGGAAGCCACGCCACGCGGGGACTCGGAGTCTCAGGGCGGGAGTGGAATCTGCTGTTTTCAAGCCGTTGTTCGGCCTGGACATCCCCCTGGAGCTGGAAGTGGTTGCCAGCCGACCCCTGAGACCGTGGCGTGCTGCCCAGACGAGGCCCATGACCCTGACATGCTGCCCTGACGGCCTCCCCATGATTCCAATGTGTTGCCCAGACGACCCCCGTAGGACCCCTGTGTGCTTCCCAGACGACCCCCTGTGACCTCAATGCACAGCCCAGACGACCCCCTGTGACCCTGATGTGCTGACCAGACGACCCCCCATAACCCCAAAGCAATGCACAGCCCAGACGTCCCCCTGTGACCCCGCCGTGCTGCCAGGCTGAGCGTCCTGCCTGGCCCCCTGCCAGGCTGCCCCAATCACTCCCCAAGAGCACGCGAAACGCAGGGTCTCAGGCCCCTCCAGGACCACTGAGTCAGAACCTGCCTTTCAGCAGACGCCTGGGGGCTCATGGGCTCTGGACTGTGAGAAGGACCCCTAGACTCGGGGCTGAGGCTCCTCCAGAGACACGAACGTCCTGAAGGGGCCCCGCCCCACTCGCCAACGCTGCGTCTCAGAGGACGTCGAGCTCGTGGTGCGTCTGGGCGCCAGAGCCGAGGCGGGCAGAGGAGGCCCCAGCGGCCTGAGCTCCGCCAGACCCGGCAACGCTTCCCACGCCGGCGTGCTCACACCAACCGTCCTGGCGGTACTCAGGTTCTTTCCTCCCAGAGGGGGCGTCTGGGCCGCCCCCACAGTGTCTCACTGGCCTTCACCTGCCCTCCCAGGCGAAGCTCGTGAGCCCAGTGGCTGGTGCGCAGCCCCTCGGGGTGGCCCCTCTGACCTCCAGCGCCCTTCACGTCCAGGGAGGGACCAGCCACGCCTGCGGTGGGGCCACGCGGGAGAGCGCCTCTCCTCCGGTTATCGAAACAGATAAGGCTGCTGGGCAAGGGCACCCAAGGGCGCGGGCGGGAGGACCCACACGAGGCCGCCGGGAGCCGGGCAGGGGGAGGCCGGG